GCAGCAGCCATTTTGTTCTGATGATACGTACTTCCGTTCGCCATCTTGTTTTGATAGGTGTTTCCATTCCGTCTGTTGTTATTGCAATTGCGTGATGAGACTGGTGTCCCGGCTGTAGAGGAAACTGGAGTGAAACTCGTTACTTTACTAATCACAGGCTTGAAAGATGAATTAGTTGTGATGAGAGGTGGCTCTGTTGGAGGTCGGAAGTCCGCGGTGAAGGAGTACGTGGCTCCACCAGTGCAGGCTTGAGGACTCAGCAGGCCCTGTGTTTGAGGGTAGACAGGCGATGGATTGGGAGTTGCTGATGTCCACTGCATCTGGAAAAGTTCCGTAAGTCAACAGTTACAGTGTCGACAGTCGTGTTATTTGGGTATTACTTTACGTTATAGAAGTTGATGAGCTTTTGTGGTATCTAATGAGACGAAAACATGCAAGGAAAGGCACTGGTGTCGCCTTCCAGTTCCATTGCAGATGTGAAGCAGATTTCTTATTGTAAGGCTAATGGGCTGGTCGTTCAGGTAAACCAAGCTAGCCCACCGGTGCTACCATATGCAGTGTTTCTCTGGAATTTAAAGAGAATATTGAAGGAGAATACTACGTGGACAGACGAACGGGTTTGATTAATACATTTTTGTTTTTAAACTGAGGTTTTAAGGAAAGCTAAAGTAGTAAGGTTTAAACATTCGCAGATGTTAACATTATAGTTTAGGCTTTCATGCTATACTGAATTGCAGTGTTAAAGTGTACTTCGGAACCGTCCGGAAGCTTTTGGTTTGTTATGCATTTCCTTGTGTTTGCCATTTACTGTTAAAGACAACTTTTGTTTTGAAGAGGCGTTATTGTGCATCATTTACTCAAAACAGGAACAAATATTATGGTTGTTGATTGATATAATCGGTTCTGTAGACCAGCAGTAACTATATTTATCAACAATTAATAACTGCGTTTTGCCATACATGGAGAGTAACGAGCCAGCTGTTTAACTTACATATTCAAACAAAGTTTGAGGTCTTTTATATTTAGAGAATGAATGACATGTTGATAAATGCGGTTGGCCGTTAATGGCGTACTAGTTTCTAGATACGAAAGGGCTGGACAAAACAGATTGTAAACAATAACTAAAAAAAAATTTTCTGAAATATTTCCGTTTAATTACCTGAAAACATAGACTACTAACATCTTAATTGGCAAAATATGTCAGAATAACTTTAATTGTATTGTCAGACATCAGAACTATTCACAAAGGACCGTTATACTGTCTCCTACTTTAGAAATGGCTGTAGCATCGTCTAGACCAGTGGTATTCAACCTTTTTTGTTCGCGTACCCCCAGATATAATTTCTCTTCAACTTTGTACTCTCAAATTTGTTGGTGTATAATTCAAGTTATACATAGTATATAATCTACATCTAAAATAAATTAAATAAATTACATTACTGATTATTCAGTATTTATCATAAAATAATATATATTTTTTTTAAATTTCACGTATCCCCTAAGATGTCTTCACGTACCCCCGGGGGTTCGCGTACCCCAGGTTGAATACCACTGGTCTAGACATTCGGCTGGAGAATATGACAAACCACTAAAATTTTAATGAGTCCAGGTGGGATTCGAATGAGATAGCCCTAACGTTCGGGATAGACACGTTACCGCCATGCTAACCTTTTCTATGAAGCAGGACCATGTAATCATGGAGTAAAACCTCCGCTGAAAGTGTTGCCAGAATAAATGCCAGCTTCACCTTCTGGTCCTTTCCATTGTGTATATTTGGTAGGATGAATGTCCGTCATAACGCGGAAAGGAAGAAGCATTTCCTGCTTTTGTACGGGTGTAATGAACACGGAGCGTCCCTTGGATCTGAAGGAAACCGATCGATGTCAGTAAAACCATTACGTCTCTAGTTGAGTCGTAACGCAAGTCGAGTGTCGATTGTGATCTCGGCTGTGAGGTCGTGCAGTCTTGTAGGTTGTTACTAACGATTTGAAGGAACGTACCACTTCTATCTTCTGAGTGGAATTGAAGATGAAGGCGTTTATTTCCTCCAAAACGTTGATAACCACCTACAAGACTACGCAGTGTCACAACTCAGAAGACATTTTCGCGTCGTAAGAACGTGAAATGTAAGATTGGCTTAAGTCGTTCAACCGCGAATGAAATCGTGACTGGATCTATTGCATCCCGGAAGTGCGTTACAGAATTTGTAACAGATCTGGCACTACAAGAAGAATGTTCTAAGAGCCACCTATTTTATTTAATTAAATAAGTATGTAGTCTGTGAGAAGTTTAAGTAGAGTAAAGGTTCGTTTGGGTGCTATAGGGTGATAGAAGTTTTGGTAATAGTCTCACATACTGGGAAGGCAATGTACTGTTGGGTGGAATTAATACTATTAATAACAGTGATCCTGTGAAAATAGAAATAGTTAAAATATGCCTTAAGTGGGTTAATTAAATTAATCCATTTATGAAGTCGAGAATGATAGTAGCAACGAATTAAGCACGTAAGATTAAGCCTATAGATTAGGTCCATTATGAAATAATTTATATTCAAGGAATAAATAGGTGACCCAACACACGCTTTTGGGATTTGATGTTAATAAATGTCATAGGCCTACAGGGAATTCTGGTTGTAACATGTAGATATTTTGAAGCTGATTCTGTCCCTAACGCATAACTTATTTTAAAGAGAGGAACAGAGGAAGAAGGGAATAAAGACAAAGTAGAATGATGGAAAGGAACAAATAAACAAACAACGATCCCAGGTTAGTTCAGCATGTTCACTGGTCTGGATCGATAAGATGTACATCCGCCCACACTTTAGAATTAGCTCCACCCACAACCAGCGGTTGTCATCGCAACAGACAATAAAGATGGCTTCTCGGAGACGCACAGCTGCCATAACTACAAGACCGTGAGCAATGACAATCATCTTGTCCGCGTCGAGTACCTATCATTTTTATTGTTTTTGAGGAAATTTCATATTTTTACCAAAATATGTCAAAGGATTCAATACAAATGCTTAAAAGTTTTGTTAGTCCACATTTAAAGTAGCCCTCATAATGTTTAAGATCGATCAGATGTGTACGTATTACCATCAAACACTAGACAAAGAGGAAAGTTGTAGGCCCTATCATGTTTCGTGGAAATCTGTCAAATGATTTATTAAAAGATTTGTGTGAAACGTCAATTGGGCCCTTATGTGAAGTGTCCTTTAGAATCGTTTAAGTAGGAGGAAAGTTCAATAGCCTGTGAAAATAATAGTACAATAGACAATAGACAATAGGTAAGAGTCATATAAACCTTTCTTAAATATATGTTGAAGGACTCAAGAATTAAACGTAAAATTTAGTGTAAAGCCTCTGACTAAAATTTACCAAAGGAAATCAAGTGAAAATATCTCGAAAATGTATAATGTAAACCTACGTCTGCTATGCCGAGTTTGATTGAAATGTGTCAGGTAGTTTCTATGTTGTTTCTTGCCAACTACGGACGTGACGAAAGTAATAGGCGATTTTAGATTTTTTTCGAAATACAACTAAATAATAGGCCTACGTTGCTCGCAAGTGTTGGCTGTACAGTTTTGAGCGGTTTTAATGTAGTTGTATAAGAATAAACTTTGCCTTGCATTTCTTGCGAAGTTCAATCGAAATAAGACATATTTTAAACCGGTTTTCGTACCAAAAATTGGCATAATATAAATTGCAACTTCTATTTGAAAAAAAGTTTTTAATGCATTCCACGGTCTATGTTAAACGAAACACACGGGAATCAATATGGTTTTTCTCAGCATGTTATCAGCTCTCTTCATTCCCTTAGCAGTAATAGAGCTGCGAGCACATATAGAATAACGAGGTATAACTTGAAATATCTAAAGATCGAATATGGAAAATTTGTTTCTATAAAGTTTCTTCTTCACGTCTAAATTGCGGGTGCTTTGAGAATTACTGTTTTAGGGTGACTGTATACAGATTGAATTGAAAATATTTGAAGTAGAGACCGATCCTGATAGGATTTCTTGTGACGGTAATGACACTTGAATGTTTCGTATTCTTGGTGTGACGGGGCATAACTTGTTTGCTGCTAACGCCTTACGGATCGACCCGCCCGTCATTCACCCAAGCTAAAGAAGTTGCCGGTAAGGCACGGCGTTTGCCATTATAGACGCAACGTGTCTGTTTGCAGTGCATTTTACGTAATGTAGATTTGATGTTTTGGTTTTCTGGGTTGTTGCACCATGTAATGTTGTGTTTGTATACCATTTTTTGTGAGAACGTACGGCTTACATCTCCAGGACTTAAGTACTTTAACCTCTAATTCTGAAGATGGAGTGAACATGTTCATCCGAAAAGTTGGTATAAACTTTAAACAGCGCAATAACCTAGAATACCAGAATATAAATATTGTTTGTCCATGTGCGTATATGTCGTAATAATTTTTGAACAAATTGAAGGATGTCTATGAATCTGGGTATAATTATCATACCATCAGTCTATTCGACATGACTTCATCTTTGCAATTCTTATTCCCTGCCACCATCAATACCAACATTCCTGGAATGTTTCGAGATAACAGACCTACTATGACCATACTATTACCGTATATAATCGCTTCCTTTATAATCCGTGCTATTTGCCGCGTACAAATTTACAAATATCGTCTGCCTTGACCTGAAGAAATCAGCGACAGTGTACGCCCATCTGACAAGTGCTGATGGGAGTGGTAAAATGAATTTTATATTTTAATGCCAACCTCACCTTTACGTATTTAGTCTTATTATTGTTGAAGGGTCCCACTCAAGCCATGGATGTTGTCCTGTGTACAGGTAGAGGCATTGTGACGGGCCGATCCCTCGTCTAAGGAGTCCTACCGAATTTCTATAGATCAAAGCCAACGAAAGTTGAGACCCGCAGATGATCGGACACTGAAAAACTTTTCGTATAAAATAAAAAAAAAATGCTGAAGAGTCTGATACTGACTTGAGGTCTGGTAAGGAGGAAACCCTAAGTTGTATAAATCGAGTGGTGAGGGCCTTTACTATCGCATGTGGAAGAAGTACCGTTATCTGTGGTAACTTAACTTAAATCCGCTTTACACTCGCCGCGTGTAACTGCAGGTGTTAGTCGTTAGTCGAGCTTTAAGCAGGCCTACATGAATCAGTGGTTGAATCTCCTTACCTGCGGACAGGTCATCTGGTGCTGCAGATTCTCTGGGTACCCGTGCATCGTCATGTTCATAGACACGTTGACACTCATGCTGGGGAACATGTTGTGGTGCTGTGCCGGCGTCTGGGCACCGAACATCCCGCTCTGGTCTTGCGCGCCCGTGCAGAACTGCGTGGTGCCATAGCCTGCGCTTGGAGACATCATCTGCAACAGGAGCTCTGGTCCTTTGTGTCTCTTCGTCACTATTACCTCATGGAGCCTCCTCTTCAGTAGGCATTCAAGAATCTGTCATCTGTTCCATGTAGTGCCGAGATTTTAATTCTTGGAACGTCATCCCCAGTCTCCCATGCTTTTTCATGGCGTTGTGCTTGAGAAAACGAATTGCTTTTTTTATTATTATTAGCTAATCCAATGGAGCAGAGTCCTTCTTGAGAAGCTAATAGTAACCTAAGCTCAGGCAGTTAAATTCACTGAATTTTATTGAAACCGAAAGTTCATTACTGTATTCACCGGTCAATATCTTAAGCCGGATAAATCCAATCCATACCCCAAACCGGGTTTTTAAGATCCACTTTAATATTGCCCTCCCACTTTCTTCCGAGTGGTCTACTCCTTTCAGGCTTTCCAAACAAAATTCTGGTTGCTTTGTGCCCCGTCCATCTCTTTGGTTTCATCGTTCCAAAAATGTCTACTGATTAGTACGAATTACAAAGCTCCTTTTTATTCAGTTTTCTTCAGTCTCCCGTCACTTCATCTCTCATCTCAAATCCTTTTTTTTTCTCTTAACTGCAGACATCAGGCTCCACACCCACACAAAAGAACATGTACTATTGTTATTATTAGTAGTAATATTAGTAGTAGTAGAACACTTAATACTGTTCTGATTCAGTCTTTCACCGCTCCATTCCAGTCGATGGAATATCGACACAGTGTACCTCATAAATGATCTTAAAACAAAGTTGGTTGCTCATCCGTTCTCGACAGTGTTAATTTATAGGTTCCTGCAAAGTTAGAGGCTCTTATATACAATATTTAATATGCGTCTGCATTTATTTGTAATTAGCTGTAGCTCGTCCAAATATTGTTTAGGAAGTCGATTTGGCAAGTCAGTTTAAAACAACTGGAACTTGCAAACTAATTATTGTTTTTAAACACAAATATTGGTATTTTTGTAGCAGTTTTTTTTACATCTCAGTCTGTATTTAATGTATTTATAAATTAGGCAATTTAGTATCTTCAGAGCATGAAAATAAAATAACTTTAATTTGTAAATACATTTCGTCAGAATTGTTTATTTCAGTGAGTTCTAAACCCGTAAACACTCTTTGTAAACAAGGCAGATATTTCTTTGTCCTGCATCACGCCAGACTTACCTGATGTGGATGAACTGTGTATGAGAGGGACGCGGAAGGTCCCTGGTACGACCCTTGGCCTGTACATTGCTGCCCAGCGCCGTAGGAACCTGCGAAGTTGCTGCATGGAGATAGCTGGCCGTCTGTTTGTCCCGGGTGGACGACCGCGTGTTTCAGGGAGAGCAAGACGTCAGCCATATCGTGCGGCTGCTTCTCCTTCAGCACCGGAAAATCTGTCCTTGAGACACACAGTTAAATCTGTTTAAAACGGAACCTTTATTAAACGGATGCCTGCGTGGATTAGGAAAAGTTTCTTGTCCCTCGAATAAAAAGTTATATAATTGCCCGCAATAAACAGGAATTAATTATATGACGTGAAGCTTTCACGGCGGCTTTCATTAACAAAGCCTTGAAAATGATGACAGAGATGGTCCTCGAAACGTCGATTGATCACCAACTAACACGGCTGAAATCCCGAGAAGACTTTATTAAGGAATTAATTAGCTTGGAAACGGACATGATATAGATAAATTTAACGGGAAATGGTTTATTTTAATATATTTGTGCTCTGTTTACATATAATGTGCTTTTTTTTTTGGAGCAGTCTACGAACTATTCGCTTAAATAATTGTATATATCTGCAGAGTTCAACAAACATTTCTATCGAGTGATCTTGAGGATACTGGGAGGACTTATATGAACTCAGTTTCAATGCTGAACTTTGCTGGATTCGGAGATTTTCTTCTTTTTTTTAGTATAAACGTTCAATGGAAATCTCGCACAGATACATTTTCAGTTGACATTTTTATTTGCTTTGTATATCTATATTGTAATACTGACACTGTGATAAAGCATGAGTTATCTTTAATTGGACACGAGTGCAAAGTCAATGTCTTAAATTAAGAATCAATGAATTTAACAAGACTCTTAACTTGTTTCCCATGAAGTATTAATGACTAATTAACTATGTGGCAGCAAAACAGGAAGACTCAAAGCCACTAGCATCAAAGTCCGCCATTGGACCAGACACTTTCACCCTTCTATCTATTACACAACTAATTTCCCTATAATCCGTCATATTTGTATCCTCTTATAGTAAATTGAGATTTTGCTACCACAATTCTATATTCATTTCCTGTCTCTCGTATTCTAACCACGTGCCCCACCCATAATCGATTTCCCTGCCTTAACAACACGAGGTGACCTGCAGAAATCACAAAATTATTTATCTAATGCCCTTAATTACTCACTTCAGCCTTCTTAGATATAAATTTTATAAGTTTGCACGTGTTTTATTATAGATTTTGCGTCTCTAGTTATTATTCATGCTTGTTTGTTCCAGAGACAACAGATCATTGCCAGTAGTAGAGATATTGTACTACATGGTCTCAAATTTTTCCTTTTGATTTAAATAAATCTGCTTCTTATCGGAAAAGTTTCAAATTTAAGTTTTAGACCATAACGACGTTTGTAGTTTATGTTACGTACAAATACAATATTTAAAACTATATGCTTTTATTCTTGAGGAAATGTCATGAAATTCTGTTTGGACATTATGTAAAGTGTTAAGTGACACGCGGACGGACATGTCTTCTCATTGTAAGCTCATTTAAAACACTCTACAGGTCACGAGGACATAGAAGTGTGTACTTTAAACGACTTAAAGTTTTGCAAATGCATTCTTTGCCACTATGTATGCCTCATTATTTATTATTTATTACACAATAAAGCCACAGGTACGAGTCATTTGGATACTATTTCATTTTATGTGATCTGTTTAATATTAATTATATGAAAAATAATGCATATAAAATGTACAGATGTTAATGACACTCACCATATGCCTATATTTTGTATTTAATGTATTTAAAAATCGTTTGTACAATGATTCGTTTCGCTAAAATGGCAAATAGAGATTTTGTCGGATAAATGCGGTTAAAATAAAATAAAACATTTGAGGAAGTAAGTTTTATCAAACTTAAGTCACTGTAGATTATATGTAATGCATCTTAACTTATGATCATAGAAATATAACAAGCACAGTTTCCTGTAAACTGAGTGTCAAGGCTTTGCACTGATACGAGGCACAAATGCACCAGAATACAGCAAAGTAGCTGTAACTTTGTGGCGGAATAATAATTGTTAGCATTTAACGAAATGAAAACCCGAAACTAATCTAAAATTTGTTTAAGAAACCAATTCCTATCCTAGATATAACACAACGCTGGTTTATTACAAAGATGGAACTTCTTAATACTGTTTATGGAAATATCGTTGTTCATTCTGAGAAGCACCTGATACCTATAAACACGCTCTGTGTGCAAATTACAGAGTTACTGAATGCTAAAGTACCTCTGCGCGGTTCACGTAATGAATACCGTGCTTTACAGGGTTAGGCGAATAATATAAATATAAATATTACTCTATCACTTTCTGTCTACACTTACTTGTAGTTGGCAGCTGAGCAGGGACTGAATGGGAAAAGACTGGGCAGGGGATCCAAGTCCAGAGGCGGCAACGAGAAAGATCCCATGTCCTCCGGAGACCAGTATGCCCCCCCACTGCCGAGACCTGTAGGAACCTGTACTCCACCTGAACTGCCGTATGTGCCTCCCAAAACTGCAGGCGACGGGCCACCACCTGCGCCCTGCAACTCGACGAGCCCGTAGTGGGGGTTGTTCGGAATGTAACATCCATCCATCTCAATTATACGCCGGCTCGTATTTCTCTCTCAAACTTCACCGTTTCCCCCACTCCTTCCGTTACTTGCCGGTGCAGCCTTACGATACCTCTTTCTGGAACACATAAAGTACACGTATATTTCCAACTACTCAATAATAATAATAAAGGAGGCTGAATCCTTAGAACGTAGCCGATCTCAATGGGCGAACCACAACCGCGCTGAAGCTGCGATACAATGCACTACGGAGCATGCACGATTATGTGGAAGGCTTCAGATATTAATTATTGCAGTGAGGGGTTGGAGTGGGGGTGAGGGGTTAGGAGACAAGCCAAAGGGATGCTGTATATTAGCAGGCGATTCTGAATTTTGCAGGCTCTGGGATGCAGAAACATCATCCACATCCACCAACAAACGAATGGCGAATCTAGGTGCCTGGAGAAGTTGGTTGACTCGCTGAGTGACAGACTCTTTGACTAAGTAACTGATTCATTGAATGATGAGTTATTGATTAACTGGTTATCTGACTGACTAGTAACTAACTGAGTAACTTATAAGACACTATGTATGAAGATATCCGTCTTCTGGGTTGTTGCGCTGTGGTAAAGCCGGCCGGGGCGTGATACTGACCACTCACCCCCATCTAGTGCCGAGGTCAAGAAAGAGAGGAGCTATACCTCCTCTCACCCCAAACGCCTACATGGCGTATAGTGGGACAAACTTTACCTTACTTTACTATTAATAAATACTGAATTGGAAAACATAAGGAAACATGTAGTCGTGACCTAAATTTTGAGAGGTGCTATCGCGAAATTGTTCTTTAAAGGACTGAAGAAAATCACTAAAATCCTGGGTTTCAGGATAGCCGGTCTGCATGTCGAGAGTTTAATCCGAGACCTACAAAATGCGAGATAGAAATGCTAACCACTCGGCTGCTACGACAGGTTATATATGTTACAAGAATAAATTGGATCTTAGAGAAATAAGATGTGATAATTTGGTATCGAAATAAATGGCTGAGTTTGGGATCGAAAGGCGGGTTTTTTTTTTGAACTCGAGAAAGAAATTTGGGAAACCATAAAATCGAGGAGCACGTTGGTTGGCTGATTAAGAACCTGTGATATGGAGTTAATCATTATGCCAGCCATATAGCAATTGATCCAAATTGTTTAAATCTTCTAATAAAGTTTTAGACTGAATGATTTTATGTTATAACTTTAAATTTAAGAGCACTGAATTTCTCACACATTTTGTATGTGCCAAAAAAAATTAATGGTTTAGTGGAATGGCAAAATTTTATTGCATTAAGATACTGATTGTGAGACAGTGACTACTGACTGAGTATCTAACTACTTTAACCACTGACTCATGGAGTAAGTTACTGACCTAGTGAATGACTAATTAACAGGGTAATTAATACTAATTGAATGATGTACTGACTATGAACTCAGTGATTAAAAAATATCCTGATTGATAGACTAATGAAATGACCAATTATGTAACTAAATTCATTTACCTTTATTTTATTAATACAGTTACCAATAAAATAAAGATAATAAAGTTCTCTGTTTAGGCATGTACCGTTAATATAATTGAATTTAATCTGGAAAATGCGACTGAATTTATTTTGAGCTCTGTTTGATCTGCGTCGTATTATTGGGATTTCATTTGGCAAGTGGCGAATGGCGTTCAATAAAATATATTCAGCTGTCGGGATTTAGTACGGAGCTGCTGTCCCATAACATTTTTCGTATCACCAATTATTCATTTAAAGATCACTGTCTTCTGGGATGTTGCGCCGTGTAGTCTGGTAGAAATTTATCGACGTTTTAGTGGTAATTTCTGTCGTCATCATCAGGGAGGCAGCAGTAACTTCTGAAACGTCGGTAAACCTTTCATCCTACACAGCGCAATTCCTAGAAGATAGTCATCTTAATAATATCTGTCGTGAGAACCTGAAATCTCACTAATTTTTAATTTATTTGGAATTCTAGAATTTATTTAACAAGACTCGTTAATCGAAACTATAGACTTGATTGATTTATTCTTGACTCTTTTAATGACACAGTCAAATGGATGGACGTTGTGTGTGATGAATTAGTAAACATTTTGAATTTATCACGACATATTCTAATGTAATACCTCAGAATTTTCTTGGAGAGAATGGCGAGAGATACGAAATACCTGTAAATGTAGGCTAGCTAACCTCTGGGCCGAGATTCGAACAGGGATACTACGAGTACGAAGTAGAAGTTGCATCGACTCGACCACGACATTCAGTGTGACTGTCGCTGTAATCGTTATGCTTTTGAAATTATCGCCAACGCTGAAGAAGTCCTATTGCTAGACATCGTAGATATTAGAAAAGAACCAGGAAGTTTGTAAACCAATCCTTTAAAGGAATTAAAAAGATATAAAATAACAAGATGGATGTAACTCGAAACATAAGTCGACCTGGCAATGGCGTTTGTGGTGGGACAATTTCTGTGTTACTGTGGGGATGAGATTTCTTTAAAGATGTTTCTCAATTTTCGATCATTGAATGTCTACAACCAACCTCTGAGAAGATAGTAATTTCTCAAGTGGTCAATAAATAGCTTTACGTAACTCCTAAATTTTATCACTGTGTACACAAAATTCTTCCATTGGACCATATTCTGAGCGAAGTGAAGCCACTTCGAGTCCACTTCACACCCACAAGTCATTTTTAACTTATTCTAGCATCTAATTTGTGAGTATTCCAAATGGCCTCTTCCCGTTAGGTTTTCCGACTAAAATCTTATAAGTCTTTCTCATTTCTGCCATGCGTGTAACTTAACCTGACATGTCGTCGCCCTTGGCTTGGTGACCCTAATAAAATGAGGTGAAGACTACACATGGTACATCCTCTGTCTTATGTAGAAAAAAATTATCAACTCTTCGTTCTCATATATCCTCAGTCTAATTGGACATCAATAGGCTATTCGCAGAATTATCTTCCTATGACAGATAATTCAATCACAGACATTGTGTTGCTAAGTTCTTTGCTGAGATGCAAGCATTTGAACAGAAACCATAAATCTTACATTCGTACATAACTTCCTGTTTTAGAGTCAAAGTTATTTAGCCTACATCGATTATTACTACTCTAGAAATTTTGGTTAAAATCTGGTATATCCTGTTTAATACTCACCAGCTATACAGTTTTTTTTAACTGGACAACCTAACAGAAGAAAAACTCTTCATCTTGGGTAACAGACATAGACGTGGGTGGGTTCATTTGTTATATTTTTATAATGAAGGTCTCAGTATCTTATATTGTCTAGGGTTATTAATGAATATCCCCGACGAGGGCAGAGGATTTTTCCTCGAGCCTCTGCGTCCATACCGGCTCTGGGGTCTACCCAGCCTCCTATCCAATGGGTACCGGGGTCCTTTCCCGGGGGTAAAGCCGGCCGGGGCGTGATACTGACCACTCACCCCCATCTAGTGCCGAGGTCAAGAAAGAGAGGAGCTATACCTCCTCTCACCCCAAACGCCTACATGGCGTATAGTGGGACAAACTTTACCTTACTTTACTATTAATAAATACTGAATTGGAAAACATAAGGAAACATGTAGTCGTGACCTAAATTTTGAGAGGTGCTATCGCGAAATTGTTCTTTAAAGGACTGAAGAAAATCACTAAAATCCTGGGTTTCAGGATAGCCGGTCTGCATGTCGAGAGTTTAATCCGAGACCTACAAAATCCGAGATAGAAATGCTAACCACTCGGCTGCTACGACAGGTTATATATGTTACAAGAATAAATTTGATCTTAGAGAAATAAGATGTGATACTTTGGTATCGAAATAAATTGCTGAGTTTGGGATCGAAAGGCGGGTTTTTTTTTTGAACTCGAGAAAGAAATTTGGGAAACCATAAAATCGAGGAGCACGTTGGTTGGCTGATTAAGAACCTGTGATATGGAGTTAGTCATTATGCCAGCCATATAGCAATTGATCCAAATTGTTGAAATCTTCTAATAAGCTTTTAGACTGAATGATTTTATGTCATAACTTTAAATTTAAGAGCACTGAATTTCTCACACATTTTATATGTGCCAAAAAAATTAACGGGTTAGTGGAATGGCAAAATTTTATTGCATTCCGGAGGTAACCGGTTCGAATTTTAGACAGGTTATAAACTATATTGACTGTGCACTTTCATGGTCGACAGAAATGGGGAGTTTCGTTGGAAATAACATAAGCCGTTTTTCCATAACGTTTTTAAGGATGTTGGTGACTATGGCAACGGATTCCTGGTATTCTATTGGTTAGCGTAATTTCAAAGTAGAGAGAGATGAAAAATAACTGCTCAAAAGGTATTAATATGGTTTCTGTTTGATGAAAAGGGGAAGAAATACACTACAATTTATTGTAGGCTGCAGAAGCCATGTTGGGGTGCACAAGTTTCGATTATGTTGTGAGTAAGGTGAGAACCGACCACTGCTTATAACGGAATCCCAAGGGACAAACAAATTTCCGTTCAACACAGGAAATTCTAAATAAAAGTATTGCACATAGCCTATATGCCCGTTGTAGGTTTATGATCTTAGACACCAGCAAATAATTAGTGCCACAAATTCACAGTGCACTCTTTCAGAGGAGTGAACATTTCGTGTGTGTGTGTACAAAATGTCTTCCTTGCTTCTAGGTGTCCGGTTCTGAGCATATTTTGTCGACGAATTGGTTCAGTTTACGTTTGTGACAGGGAGAATAGTACGGAACAAAAACTTGTTCTTATAAATCATTTTACATCAGTTCTCAATCTATACTATCGAGATATGAGATTTTTTCGATTACGACAAATTTACGTTTAATCCAAGATTCGCATATTTCGGTCTAATTTAACCCATATATACTGAACCAACTATGTTTTATTATTTTATTATAAATGTTAGAACAGAAGCCTAAGTATTTTACCGGTTACGTTGTTTAATCACTGAAGATATGACTAAGTTGGAAAGATTATAATAACTGGCGTGACGTCATGTAGTCTAAGGAAGAAGAAATAATCCGCCATGATTCGAACAATGCACCTTCCAGAAAATAGGTATAGGCCGGCCATGTTGGTTTTCTGGGTTGTGACGCCGTGTGGCGAGTTTCGGAGGAATATACTGCCTCCAAGGATGAAGGTGGAGGCAGTATATTCCTCCGAAACAGTGATATCTACGTCGTGGAAGTCCACACGGCGTTTCAACCATAAGACCAACATCGATATCTCGAGCAGCGCGACGGCCATGTTGCCCTAACAAAAGTTGTATATCATCTAAGATGTAGTACTATAGGATTATGTAGAATGTTACTTTCAGTAGCGCTAGTTTTCCTCACAAATCTTCTATGTTGGTATTATTGGCGGAAGGAAATTATAACGAAAAGATGTTTACCGTCGTCTGTCATGCTAAGCCTTGCAGTCGCATGGAGACTGGCTTATGTTACAACGGTGCTTAACTGCCTCCACCAATGAATAATCTTCGTCCTGATAGTGGATGCAGTAAACATCTCTGAAACGTCGGCAAATAACTAGGAGGCTACACGACAGACACTCTTTATGCTTGGCATTATAAAAACCTGAAATCTCACTTAGATAGTGT